CAGTCTCCGGGACTGAGTCTCAGAGTCCACCAGTCTCCAGGCCTGAATCTCAGAGTTCGACAGCCTCCAGGACTGAGTCTCAGAGTTCGACAGTCTCCGGGACTGAGTATCAGAGTTCGACCAGTATCCTGGATTGAGTCTCGAGAGTTCGACAGCCTCCAGGACTCGAGTCCTCAGAGTTCACCAGTCTCCAGGCCTGAATCTCAGAGTTCGACAGCCTCCAGGACTGAGTCTCAGCATTCGCCAGTCTCCTGAACTGAGTCTCAGAGTTCGCCAGTCTCCTGGACTGAGTCTCAGAGTTCGACAGCCTCCTGAACTGAATCTCAGAGTTCGACAGCCTCCAGGACTGAGTCTCAGCATTCACCAGTCTCCTGAACTGAGTCTCAGAGTTCACCAGTCTCCTGGATCACACTGAAGCGCTCACACAGAACACACACACTATAACACACTTATAAAGTTCCCAGACTCAGCAAGTCCCACAGACCCGGCTTGATTTACACGGCCAGAGGATTTATAGCGCTTCTGAAGAACATAATAACACTTGCAAACATAATAATCATCTGGAGAAATAGAGAAAAAAATCTCTGCCTTTGTTATCTCACAATTACCATTGTGTACTTTATTGCATAATGGGTCTCAACAGTGCAGTTAATGGTATTACTGGCATAAGACCAGCACTCGGCCTGTAAATAAACATAATGGCACTTTTTAATAAATTACTTCACCTCGACACAACAATAATTTAATCACCCTTATGAAAGAGGGACAGGTTGACAATGCTGGATTTATGATGTTATAGATTAGTCATCATCATTACTCTTGGATCTGTAATATATTTCTCAGATGAATTTGCTAATGTGCCGTCGCTGGCTAAAATGAATATTGGCCGGCTCTTAAAACGCTGGCAGAGAGACGGCTTTCATATGGTCAGATCCAGCAGCATTTACTGCGTCTGATGTACGTTACCTCGCTTTTACCCTGCAGAACTGCTCTCATCTCTCATGCTCTGGGTCCGGCTTCTGGGACACTGATACAGGTCGAGAACTGCACTTTACGTTTACTTTTGCAGTTTACAATTTTTGTTACACTGTTATATTATTATTTTTGTAACACTGACTTACATTTAGTATGTGAAGTTATTAAAAAATACTTAATTATTATTTAAAATTATTAATATAAATATTAATTAATCCAATTTTTTCATATTTTTTAAGGCTAAAAACTATTACAAAAAAATATATATATATATGTAATGCAAAACCAAATATACATTACATACTACCATTCAAAGCTTTGGGGTTGGTCAGATTTGATGTTTTTTTATTATTATTATTTAATGAAGATTATTAATTTAAAATAGTGCATGGTACATTTTGTAACATTATAAATGTCTTTTGATCAATATAATACATCCTTGCTTAAAAAAAAAAAACAAGTTTAAATGGTATTATGAATTATACCATGTTTTGAAATATGCTGCTATATTTTGTGTGCACAATTACTAGTTTTCAGACATCTATAGCGAGGACGTCCGTGTGGTCGCATTATTGATGAATGCATGAAATGCTTTGCGATATAATTCTGCTCTCTCCTTTGAGTTATAAGCTGTGTGTTTTTTATGAAGGGCAGGTTTTTTAATGACTTGATATGGAAGCTAACATTGATATCGACTTCTGACTGATGGCACGTCAGCAAAATTTCATGGCGTGGAATTTTTTCTTTTTTCTTTTTGCGAATGTGTTAACGTATGGATGAACTAAATATAGGAGAGCGTTTGATGATGGCGGATTGGGTTTCATCCTGCTCACACACACACACACACACACACACACACACCCTGCATGATAAAGGTGACCTGATGGCTTTGATTTCAGCAGATTGATTGAACCAGGAAGAGACAGAGACGGCGAGAGGTCAGCGTTCCCAGACCATACCAGACCTGCTGACTATACTGTAAAAAATTTCCGTAAAAATACGGTACAATGTACCATATAAATGTGAAGGATTTTTTTTCCGTATTTGTCTTTTACGCCTTTTACGGGTCTTTTACCCTTATTTTGAATTACGCGTTGCATTGTGGGAACAAGATCCCGGCAGCGCGAAAAGTTTAAGACGCATCCGCCATTACACACACGCTGATGACCGCGGGCAAAGTTGCTTTTTAGAGCCGGATTTCGGGTGTGTGGAAGCCATTCTGACACTTATGTGGTAAAACTTAAACTTAAAAACGAAAATTATGTTTTGCTTGATGTCAAAAAGCTGTTAACGTAACGTTATTTTTAGTTACCATCTGGCATTAGGCAAATGAATGTCGGAGCCGTCACGTTTATCATTTTATGCATATCGTCACACATTGAAAGATTTAGTTAAGACTCGTGGAGGTTCTCGATTGTAGTGTCCTTGTTGTTGTTGTTGTAATGGGCTTATTTAGTTTTATTTGTCGTGATGCGGTTTATTTCTTGCCGAGCGAATCCGTTAGCAGCTAACCAGTTGTGATAGTTCTAACGTTAGCTAGCTGCTAGTGTTTAGAGCAATTTAATGCCTTCAAACAAAAGCAACCAGAGGAATCGTCAAGAAAAGTAAACGCCATTGACTTGCTTGATTTGAAAGGCATGAAGACACAACGTGTATTTTGTATTCAGACTGTGTGTGAATATGCAGTAACTTAACCGGTACAGCTGGATCAACCAGCACCTTTTCTGCAAAATGAGGTAAGTAAACGTTATGTTTACGTTAGACTTCATGTTTTTGTTTAGATGACACACACGACTTTAAACCCCAAATAATGAAAGATTAATTTACATTTAGCATGACTGCTGTTATCTAAACTTGTGCCTGTGATGTTAGTCATTCTTTCCCTCCTCATTTGTTTATTTCATAAATGTTTCTGTTGTTTTCTTATCTATTAACAGGACTTTTCTGCTGTAGTTTATATCCCAAACACCACCTGCATGCGTCTTATGGGTTTGTATTTTGTTTTATTAGCATTATTATGAATGTTCAATACTAGGGGTGTAACGGTACACAAAAATCACGTTTCGGTACGTACCTCGGTTTTAAAGTCACGGTTCGGTACGTTTTCGATACAGCAAAAAGAAAGAAATGCCAGAGAAATTTCCTATTTGTTTAAAGAAAAAAATATTTTTAAATAAGTGTGAGTTTTCCTAGATCTTGAAACTTTCAGGTTTATAAATGGGGGTCATCTTTGAAGGATGAACAAAAAATGTTTTGGTCATCACACACTCAGAAAAAAAGGTACAAAAGTTGTCACTGGGGCTGTACCTTTTCAAAAGGTAAACTTTTGTCCATTTCATGAGCTAATAAGTACATTTAGGTGTTAATATGTACATTTTGGGTGTTAATATGTACATTTTAAGTGTCAATATGTACATTTAAGTGTTAACATGTACATTTTAGGTGCTAATATGTCCATTTCAGGAGGTAATATGTCAATTTCATGAGCTAATATGTCCATTTTAGGTGGTAATATGTACATTTGAGGTACTAATATGTATATTTTAAGTGTTAATATGTACATTTTAGGTGCTAATATGTCAATTTCATGAGCTAATGTCCTTTTCAGGTGGTAATATGTCCATTTTAGGTGCTAATATGTACCACTAAGGTACCAATATGCAGCCTTTGGGTACAAAAGTGTACCTTTTGAAAAGGTACATCCCCAGTGACAGCTTTTGTACCTTTTTTTCTGAGAGTGCATTAAAAATAACATTTAAATATATATTTATTTATATAATATTTGAATTTTGAAGTGTTGGAAAAAGATGTGTGAAGTACTTGAAAGCATTTCACCATTCCAGCCAAACTGGTTCCAGTTAGTGTTACTATATTAAATCCATGGTGAATGTTGCTGGTCTGTGGACGAAAGTATTACTAGTTCATTCACGGCACAATGTTTCTCCTGGTTTCCATGACAGCGCTGTTTGATCTAATAGAGATCTACGGTAAATAACGGAGAAATGTGAATGCTTCTCACTGACTAGATCTCGCAGCGATGCTATTACCTCAGTGGCGAATTCAAATGTTTTCTTTACCGGATCTCTTAGCGCGGTGTGTGTTAACAGTGTTGCTTGATCGAGATCGGCTCGCGCTGCACAGATGTTGCTCGTCCGAACTGATAAACGATCCGTGAAGCACATAACGAGTAGCGCAGTTTCGTTCTGCTTTCATTACGCTTGCCATTTGATGTTGCGCAACATTGTGTTGGCCGCGTCAGCACGAATTTTGCCGGCAGGAAAAATTATCCAAGCAACCGTTCGGTTTGTATGCGTACCGAACCGGAAGCCTAGAACCGAAACGGTTCAATACGAATACATGTACCGTTACACCCCTATTCAATACTGGCAAAACACATTTGAATTTAAAGTCTGAAGAATAAAGTCTGTTTATAGAAAAAGTTGGTTGCTGAATACCCCCTTCAAAGATATTTATGTTTACATGGTCAGTAGAAATACAAATTGTATAGGGAAGATTTAAACAACTATGTTTAAAGCGGGTTTTTTTTAACCCTCAGGTGCTCTTCGTTTCGGAGTCACACTTGTTATCTTCCCGGTCAAAAGTGACCGGACACCTAAAAATGAAACTATCTCCATCCCAGTAAAACCAATGCAATTTATTTTTGTTCTATAATATGTATTCTTTTTAATTTAGTATTTTGAGACAATTTAAATGAATTTATTAATATTTATGCAATATTTATGGTTTATTTTTGCCATAGAAAAATATATATTATTTTATATATATATATATATATATATATATATATATATATATATTATTTTCTTCAAAAAAATATTAATGCAGTATTTTAGTTTAATATAGAGTCTAGGCCTTCAGAAAAAAAAAAATATTTTTTTGAAGGAAATTAGCACCATCTGGTTACAGTATAGAGAAAAAGCGTAGAATCATGGTGTAACCACTTGATGGCATGTACAGCTCTCTATTGAGAGGCATGTGAATTCCCCAGCTGTTTATGAACACATTTTTGTTGTTGTTGTTGGTGGATTTGTATATATAGTTGAAACAATCTCAAAAACTATTTCTTATAAAAAAAAAAATGACAAAAAACAAAATATTCACAATTTTTTTTGCTTTTTTTTCTTTTTTTTACAATTTCCCATTCATTTCCTATGGGGTCATTTTTGACCAAAGACCACAAGTGTGACTATTTTTTTAAGACCACTTAGCATGCTCAGATCATGACCTCAATTTTTTTGTGTGTTCACATACATAATGCCATAAAAGTCACCAAGTTTCGTAACATCGCGATGAAGCTGTGATTTTTAAAAATTCAAAACATACTTTTTGTAATCAAAATGTATTGGTGTGTATGTGTATAAAAGTGTGTTTGTATGTGTGTGTGTGTTGGTGGGTGTGTCTGTTTTGCACTCTAGATGTTGTAGAGTGTCACCCCTTTACTGCGGTGTACTTTTTTTTTTTAGAATTGTGGCCGATTTCTAGATTGTACATACAAAAATTCAGAGAATTTTTTTTTGTATCAATTTCCCATTCATTTCCTATAGGTTGTCATTTTTGACAGAAGAGCAAAAGTGTGACTCATTTTTTTACGACCACTTAAATTGCTCGAATCATGACCTCAATTTTTTTGTGTGTTCACATACCCAATGCCATGAAAGTCACCAAGTTTCGTAATTTTCTGAAGAAGCTGTGATTTTTAAATATTCAAAACAGATTTCTTTAATCACAATTTATTGGTGTTTTTGTGTATAAAAGTGTGTGTGTATGTGTGTGCGTAGCGTCACCCCTTCAATGCTGAGCACTTTTTTTCTGCATCGTGGCTGATTTGTAGATTGTACACACAAAAATTCTCAAAGTTTTTGTGTTTTTGTCAATTTCCCATTCATTTCCTATGGTCGGTCATTTTTGACCGAAGAGCACAAGTGTGACTATTTTTTTTACGACCACTTAGCATGCTCGGATCATGACCTCAATTTTTTTGTGTGTTCACATACCCAATGGAATAAAAGTCACCAAGTTTCGTAAAATTCCGATGAAGCTGTGATTTTTAACATTTCAAAACATAAATTTTTTCGGTCAGAAATGACCGAAGAGCACCTGAGGGTTAAGTGATCGTGTTATGTTTTTCATTTTGTAATATCTTTTTCTGTTTGTGGTGGTGTACATTCAGGGTTGCTGTCATTCAAGAAGTTATTGACCACATCTCCTATTGAGGCAGTAAGATGCAAAATACCTGAAGAAAATGGCACTTATCCTGGAGTTCATATAAAGGTAAGCAACACATTTTTAATTAATTTTAATTTAATTTTAAATTATTTATAGAACATGTTATTGTGATTATGTTTATTTAGTTGAACATAATTAAACATATTAGAATGTAGCCTATAGTTGAGCATGCAGACAAGCTGACATGACATGCAATTGGAGTCCACTGGAAAAAAGTCTTAGCATTTTTTTAAACAGTGTTTGAATTTGAGAGAATTAGGGATGGCTGATAATTTGTTTATGGTTGATAATTTAGTGAATGTAAAATACTGTACATTTGTTTTTCAACCTCAACCTGGTCTACATGATACTTTGTAGTGATACTTTCATTCATTTAATGATACTCATGATACTTTCCTTCATTTAATTTCTTGTGTAGCTAAAAACATATCCGTTTTTGTTTTTTTTTGTTTTTTCATTTCCAACTTTCCTGTGTAGAAATCTGGAACGAAGGTTGAAAAGGCTGAGATGAAGGAAATGTCCCCATTCCTCCAAAACTGCTGAAGTTCCTGTATGAACAACTTCGAAAAACCAGGTAAAGTTTCAAGCTTTTGTCAAATCTCAAAATGGAACTTTAACTGAACATACCGAAAAATGAACGTTTTTCATGCAAGTTGTTAAGATCTTAAAGGGATAGTTCACTTTGAAATACATTTTTGAAATCTTTTATACCTCAAGGACAGCCAAGATGTAGGTGTCTTTGTTTCCACAGTATTTTCAAGTTTGATATTTTTAGGTCAAACCGTTCTTGTCTGTCAGTCATATAATGGAGGTTTATGGGGTTCACCCTGGGTCCCCCTAAAGAGCATGCACAGAGAAGTCCAGAATGTAAGTACACATTGATGGCCTAAAACACGAAACGAGCGGTTTGTGTGAGAAAACAAACAGTATTTATATTGTTTTTACCTCTTGTAATCACAGCCTAGGGGTTGAACCGACTAGTCGATTAGTCGTTCAAAAAAAAAAAACAGTGGTACCCCTTACGTTTTTTTTGGTGGGGCGAAAAATTAAGTTTCTCCAATCTTCTCAAAACTCTGGATTCTGATAGAGGGCCATGAGACTTAGTCCTGAGTGCAAAAATGGAGGCTCTAGACCCTTCCAGAGCTGAGATATCGAAACTCAAAATTTCGACCCGAAAAAAAAACGACAGTGGTACCCCTTACGTTTTTTTTGGGGGGGGCGAAAAATTAAGTTTCCCCAATCTTCTCAAAACTTAGACCTGAGTGCAAAAATGGAGGCTCTAGACCCTTCCAGAGCTGAGATATCGAAACTCAAAATTTCGACCCGAAAAAAAAAAACGACAGTGGTACCCCTTACGTTTTTTTTTTTTGGGTGAAAAATTAAGTTTCTCCAATCTTCCCAAAACTCTGGATTCTGATAGAGGGCCATGAGACTTAGACCTGAGTGCAAAAATGGAGGCTCTAGCCCCTTCCAGAGCTGAGATATCGAAACTCAAAAATTCGGCCCGAAAAAAAAAACGACAGTGGTACCCCTTACGTTTTTTTTTTTTTGGGCGAAAAATGAAATTTCTCCAATCTTCCCAAAACTCTGGATTCTGATAGAGGGCCATGAGACTTAGACCTGAGTGCAAAAATGGAGGCTCTAGCCCCTTCCAGAGCTGAGATATCGAAACTCAAAAATTCGGCCCGAAAAAAAAAAACGACAGTGGTACCCCTTACGTTTTTTTTTTTGGGCGAAAAATTAAGTTTCTCCAATCTTCCCTAAACTCTGGATTCTGATAGAGGGCCATGAGACTTAGACCTGAGTGCAAAAATGGAGGCTCTAGACCCTTCCAGAGCTGAGATATCGAAACTCAAAATTTCGACCCGAAAAAAAAAACGACAGTGGTACCCCTTACGTTTTTTTTTGGGGGGGCGAAAAATTAAGTTTCCCCAATCTTCTCAAAACTCTGGATTCTGATAGAGGGCCATGAGACTTAGACCTGAGTGCAAAAATGGAGGCTCTAGACCCTTCCAGAGCTGAGATATCGAAACTCAAAATTTCGACCCGAAAAAAAAAACGACAGTGGTACCCCTTACGTTTTTTTTTTTGGGGCGAAAAATTAAGTTTCTCCAATCTTCTCAAAACTCTGGATTCTGATAGAGGGCCATGAGACTTAGACCTGAGTGCAAAAATGGAGGCTCTAGACCCTTCCAGAGCTGAGATATCGAAACTCAAAATTTGACCCAAAAAAAAAACGACAGTGGTACCCCTTACGTTTTTTTTTTTGGGCGAAAAATTAAGTTTCTCCAATCTTCCCAAAACTCTGGATTCTGATAGAGGGCCATGAGACTTAGACCTGAGTGCAAAAATGGAGGCTCTAGCCCCTTCCAGAGCTGAGATATCGAAACTCAAAAATTCGGCCCGAAAAAAAAACGACAGTGGTACCCCTTACGTTTTTTTTTGGGGGGGCGAAAAATTAAGTTTCCTCAATCTTCTCAAAACTCTGGATTCTGATAGAGGGCCATGAGACTTAGACCTGAGTGCAAAAATGGAGGCTCTAGACCCTTCCAGAGCTGAGATATCGAAACTCAAAAATTCGGCCCGAAAAAAAAACGACAGTGGTACCCCTTACGTTTTTTTTTTTTGGGCGAAAAATTAAGTTTCTCCAATCTTCCCAAAACTCTGGATTCTGATAGAGGGCCATGAGACTTAGACCTGAGTGCAAAAATGGAGGCTCTAGCCCTTCCAGAGCTGAGATATCGAAACTCAAAAATTCGGCCCCGAAAAAAAAACGACAGTGGTACCCCTTACGTTTTTTTTTTTTTGGGCGAAAAATTAAGTTTCTCCAATCTTCCCAAAACTCTGGATTCTGATAGAGGGCCATGAGACTTAGACCTGAGTGCAAAAATGGAGGCTCTAGCCCCTTCCAGAGCTGAGATATCGAAACTCAAAAATTCGGCCCGAAAAAAAAACGACAGTGGTACCCCTTACGTTTTTTTTTTGGGGGGGCGAAAAATTAAGTTTCCTCAATCTTCTCAAAACTCTGGATTCTGATAGAGGGCCATGAGACTTAGACCTGAGTGCAAAAATGGAGGCTCTAGACCCTTCCAGAGCTGAGATATCGAAACTCAAAAATTCGGCCCGAAAAAAAAACGACAGTGGTACCCCTTACGTTTTTTTTTTTGGGCGAAAAATTAAGTTTCTCCAATCTTCCCAAAACTCTGGATTCTGATAGAGGGCCATGAGACTTAGACCTGAGTGCAAAAATGGAGGCTCTAGCCCTTCCAGAGCTGAGATATCGAAACTCAAAAATTCGGCCCAAAAAAAAAACGACAGTGGTACCCCTTACGTTTTTTTTTTTTGGGCGAAAAATTAAGTTTCTCCAATCTTCCAAAACTCTGGATTCTGATAGAGGGCCATGAGACTTAGACCTGAGTGCAAAAATGGAGGCTCTAGCCCCTTCCAGAGCTGAGATATCGAAACTCAAAAATTCGGCCCGAAAAAAAAACGACAGTGGTACCCCTTACGTTTTTTTTTTGGGCGAAAAATTAAGTTTCTCCAATCTTCCCAAAACTCTGGATTCTGATAGAGGGCCATGAGACTTAGACCTGAGTGCAAAAATGGAGGCTCTAGCCCCTTCCAGAGCTGAGATATCGAAACTCAAAAATTCGGCCCGAAAAAAAAACGACAGTGGTACCCCTTACGTTTTTTTTTGGGGCGAAAAATTAAGTTTCTCCAATCTTCCCAAAACTCTGGATTCTGATAGAGGGCCATGAGACTTAGACCTGAGTGCAAAAATGGAGGCTCTAGCCCCTTCCAGAGCTGAGATATCGAAACTCAAAAATTCGGCCCGAAAAAAAAACGACAGTGGTACCCCTTACGTTTTTTTTTTTGGGCGAAAAATTAAGTTTCTCCAATCTTCCCAAAACTCTGGATTCTGATAGAGGGCCATGAGACTTAGACCTGAGTGCAAAAATGGAGGCTCTAGCCCCTTCCAGAGCTGAGATATCGAAACTCAAAATTCGGCCCGAAAAAAAAAAACGACAGTGGTACCCCTTACGTTTTTTTTTTTGGGGCGAAAAATTAAGTTTCTCCAATCTTCCCAAACTCTGGATTCTGATAGAGGGCCATGAGACTTAGACCTGAGTGCAAAAATGGAGGCTCTAGCCCCTTCCAGAGCTGAGATATCGAAACTCAAAAATTCGGCCCGAAAAAAAAACGACAGTGGTACCCCTTACGTTTTTTTTTTTGGGCGAAAAATTAAGTTTCTCCAATCTTCCCAAAACTCTGGATTCTGATAGAGGGCCATGAGACTTAGACCTGAGTGCAAAAATGGAGGCTCTAGCCCCTTCCAGAGCTGAGATATCGAAACTCAAAAATTCGCCCGAAAAAAAAACGACAGTGGTACCCCTTACGTTTTTTTTTTTGGGCGAAAAATTAAGTTTCTCCAATCTTCCCAAAACTCTGGATTCTGATAGAGGGCCATGAGACTTAGACCTGAGTGCAAAAATGGAGGCTCTAGCCCCTTCCAGAGCTGAGATATCGAAACTCAAAAATTCGGCCCGAAAAAAAAACGACAGTGGTACCCCTTACGTTTTTTTTTGGGGCGAAAAATTAAGTTTCTCCAATCTTCCAAAACTCTGGATTCTGATAGAGGGCCATGAGACTTAGACCTGAGTGCAAAAATGGAGGCTCTAGCCCCTTCCAGAGCTGAGATATCGAAACTCAAAAATTCGGCCCGAAAAAAAAACGACAGTGGTACCCCTTACGTTTTTTTTTTTGGGGCGAAAAATTAAGTTTCTCCAATCTTCCCAAAACTCTGGATTCTGATAGAGGGCCATGAGACTTAGACCTGAGTGCAAAAATGGAGGCTCTAGCCCTTCCAGAGCTGAGATATCGAAACTCAAAATTCGACCCGAAAAAAAAAACGACAGTGGTACCCCTTACGTTTTTTTTTTGGGGCGAAAAATTAAGTTTCTCCAATCTTCTCAAAACTCTGGATTCTGATAGAGGGCCATGAGACTTAGACCTGAGTGCAAAAATGGAGGCTCTAGACCCTTCCAGAGCTGAGATATCGAAACTCAAAAATTCGGCCCGAAAAAAAAACGACAGTGGTACCCCTTACGTTTTTTTTTGGGGGGGCGAAAAATTAAGTTTCTCCAATCTTCTCAAAACTCTGGATTCTGATAGAGGGCCATGAGACTTAGACCTGAGTGCAAAAATGGAGGCTCTAGCCCCTTCCAGAGCTGAGATATCGAAACTCAAAAATTCGGCCCGAAAAAAAAACGACAGTGGTACCCCTTACGTTTTTTTTTTTTGGGCGAAAAATTAAGTTTCTCCAATCTTCCCAAAACTCTGGATTCTGATAGAGGGCCATGAGACTTAGACCTGAGTGCAAAAATGGAGGCTCTAGCCCCTTCCAGAGCTGAGATATCGAAACTCAAAAATTCGGCCCGAAAAAAAAAACGACAGTGGTACCCCTTACGTTTTTTTTTTTTGGGCGAAAAATTAAGTTTCTCCAATCTTCCCAAAACTCTGGATTCTGATAGAGGGCCATGAGACTTAGACCTGAGTGCAAAAATGGAGGCTCTAGCCCCTTCCAGAGCTGAGATATCGAAACTCAAAAATTCGGCCCGAAAAAAAAAACGACAGTGGTACCCCTTACGTTTTTTTTTTTTGGGCGAAAAATTAAGTTTCTCCAATCTTCCCAAAACTCTGGATTCTGATAGAGGGCCATGAGACTTAGACCTGAGTGCAAAAATGGAGGCTCTAGCCCCTTCCAGAGCTGAGATATCGAAACTCAAAAATTCGGCCCGAAAAAAAAACGACAGTGGTACCCCTTACGGTTTTTTTTTTTTTGGGCGAAAAATTAAATTTCTCCAATCTTCCCAAAACTCTGGATTCTGATAGAGGGCCATGAGACTTAGACCTGAGTGCAAAAATGGAGGCTCTAGACCCTTCCAGAGCTGAGATAGCGAAACTCAAAATTTCGACCCGAAAAAAAACCGACAGTGGTACCCCTTACGTTTTTTTTGGTGGGGCGAAAAATTAAGTTTCCCCAATCTTCTCAAAACTCTGGATTCTGATAGAGGGCCATGAGACTTAGTCCTGAGTGCAAAAATGGAGGCTCTAGACAACATCTCTTGTGTTTTATGAATGACGTCAGCGACTAGTCAACTCGACTTTGATGTCATAAAACTCGACTTCAAAAAATCTGAAGTCGTTCAACCCCTATCACAACCACGTCCAAGTGATCTGAAGGATCACTTCCGGCGCACTTTCGCAGACCGAAGCGCCTGTGCCTTCAGATCACTTGGACGTGGCTGTGATTACAAGAGGTAAAAACAATATAAATACTGTTCGTTTTCTTACACAAACCGCTCGTTTCGTGTCTTAGGCCATCAATGTGTACTTGCATTTAAGAGTCATTGAATCATGTTTAATTTGGACTTCTCTGTGCATGCTTTTTCAGGTGGACCCAGGGTGAACCCCATAAACCTGCATTATATGACTGACAGACAAGAACGGTTTGACCTAGAAATATCAAAATTGAAAATACTGTGAAAACAAAGACACATCTTGGATGCCCTAGAAGTAAGATAAAAGATATCAAAAAATAATTTCAAAGCGAACTATCCCTTTAATGAAATCTGAGAGCGTTCTCTCCCTCTGTTGACAGCTCTCCCTCTGCTTACACCTACCACTTTCAAGCTCCAGAAAGATAGTAAGATGTAAAAAAGTAACACAGTGTTAGAGTCCTATCCAAATTTGATGCGATAAGATTCTAGCAAAACATTTGTGCCACTTTATAAATTTGGGGTTATACCACTGGAGTCACATGGATTACATTTGTGTCTATACCTTTCTGAAACTTGAAAGTAGTAGTTGCCTAATCTGTCAATGGAAGGACAGAAATCTCAGAGTTCCGCAAAAAGATCTTCATTTTTGTTCTAAAGATGAATGTAACTCTTGTGAGGTGTGGAACAACGTGCGTGTGAGTAATTACAATTACAATTTTGGGGTGAGCTTACGCTTTATGTAATTTTGTGTTCTCTTACAGAAAAATGGCATCAACACTAACATTTCACTCTTCTTTAATCCCTAGCTGGCATCTTGGGGAGGACGACCTCGCATCCAGTATGCTGCTGTGGGTGACGCAGGATTTCGAACTCATTCGATCACTTGTCTCTATGCTTTTCGAACTGTGGCGACTAATCGTGCCTTGCTGTGGGTCAAGCTGCTGGATCTTCAGATCTTCTTCGATTTGCTTAATCCATCCTTTTTTTGGGTGCAGTGCGCTGGATTCTCCACTGGGTTAGACGTTTCCTCCAGAGGACTTGTGTGGTATTCAATTTGCATCCATTCTGCACGTGTCCAAACATTTCACTCTATTGACTAGAAGTCTTAAGCAATTTTTAAGGATAAAAGCAGAAGCCTTATCTTCATTCCATTTTGTTTGTTTCTGTATTGTATCGTATTCTATTAGTATTGCATTTGAAAATGTTTTGAATCTTGACTTTCACAGTTTATGAAGTTTTTTTTTTTCTCTCATTTTTTAAAAATAATTTTGTGAGCTATTTGGTTCAACACCAATGCAAGTACCTGCTCATGTTTTCTTTTTCTTTTTTTCATTTCTCCCATGTTTGTATTTTGGAAAAGTTAAGACATTAAACAAGCACTTTATGGTGCTTTGCACATTGTTAAATTGTGTGTGTGTGTGTGTGTGTCTGTATATATCGATCTTTACCCATTGAATGCGTTTTAAGAATGTTTACATGAAATTTTTACAAAAATAAAACATGTTCAATATGTATATATTGTTCTTGAATTATTTGCTACCAAAATATATGCTATAAAAATAGAAATTTCTGTATAAGGATTATCCGTGAATAGTACAGAAAATACGGAATTTTCCATTTTAGGTTTGACGGAAATGTCCGTCAATGGTACAGAAAAACTGATGTAAATCTACGGAAATATCCATTCTAAGGTTTACGGCAGTGCCCGTACAAAAACGGAAAAAGTGCTGGTAATTAATTACCACTTTTTTTTAACAGTGTACTACCTAGTGCACATAAGCCCAGATCAACACTAACCAGACCTGATGACTACTACCTAGTGCACTTCAAATCACTATCAGCCCTGAATAGACAATAACATGTGCTTTAGGGCTTAACATTTATTGATATAAAATAACATATTAATATTTATTTGTAAATGTCTTTTCCCATGTAAAAATCTAGATAAAAATAAAAAAAAACTTAGATAGAATATCCTTTCTTTGTGCAGTCCACTGTACTTAGCAAATATGAGATTCAAATTTACAACAGCAGGTTTAATCATGTTTCCACAACAGGTTTAGATGAGCGTGTTACAGACTGACATCATCACAGTTTGACACACTGATGCTCTGATTGGCTGATTAATGAAATTATCTTCAGTGATTAGCATGAGCTTTAAGACCCTGGATAATGAATGACAGTGTGTTCGTCACACTGACCCTCCCCTGCGGTGTGTGTGTGTCAGAATAAAGTGATCAGACAAATGAATGGAACTCATCTACATGAGGAACACACTCTTGGAAACACTTCATGCATTAACTGCTACACACACCAGCTGAAAATGACTCAAATGTCACATCGTACCCTTATTATTCTGTAAACTACAGATTTTATCAAATTATTTTCATTCCGTATTAAAATAAAGTTCTGGGGTGTTATTGTGACGGGTGAAAAACACTAAAGACGTCATGAGGGCCATGAGACTTAGTCCTGAGTGCAAAAATGGAGGCTCTAGACCCTTCCAGAGCTGAGATATCGAAACTCAAAATTTCGACCCGAAAAAAAAACGACAGTGGTACCCCTTACGTTTTTTTTGGGGGGCGAAAAATTAAGTTTCTCCAATCTTCTCAAAACTCTGGATTCTGATAGAGGGCCATGAGACTTAGACCTGAGTGCAAAAATGGAGGCTCTAGACCCTTCCAGAGCTGAGATATCGAAACTCAAAATTTCGACCCGAAAAAAAAAACGACAGTGGTACCCCTTACGTTTTTTTTTGGGGGCGAAAAATTAAGTTTCTCAATCTTCTCAAAACTCTGGATTCTGATAGAGGGCCATGAGACTTAGACCTGAGTGCAAAAATGGAGGCTCTAGCCCCTTCCAGAGCTGAGATATCGAAACTCAAAAATTCGGCCCGAAAAAAAAACGACAGTGGTACCCCTTACGTTTTTTTTTTTGGGCGAAAAATTAAGTTTCTCCAATCTTCCAAAACTCTGGATTCTGATAGAGGGCCATGAGACTTAGACCTGAGTGCAAAAATGGAGGCTCTAGCCCCTTCCAGAGCTGAGATATCGAAACTCAAAAATTCGGCCCGAAAAAAAAACGACAGTGGTACCCCTTACGTTTTTTTTTTGGGCGAAAAATTAAGTTTCTCCAATCTTCCCAAAACTCTGGATTCTGATAGAGGGCCATGAGACTTAGACCTGAGTGCAAAAATGGAGGCTCTAGCCCCTTCCAGAGCTGAGATATCGAAACTCAAAAATTCGGCCCGAAAAAAAAAACGACAGTGGTACCCCTTACGTTTTTTTTTTGGGCGAAAAATTAAGTTTCTCCAATCTTCCAAAACTCTGGATTCTGATAGAGGGCCATGAGACTTAGACCTGAGTGCAAAAATGGAGGCTCTAGCCCCTTCCAGAGCTGAGATATCGAAACTCAAAAATTCGGCCCGAAAAAAAAACGACAGTGGTACCCCTTACGTTTTTTTTTTTGGGCGAAAAATTAAGTTTCTCCAATCTTCCCAAAACTCTGGATTCTGATAGAGGGCCATGAGACTTAGACCTGAGTGCAAAAATGGAGGCTCTAGCCCCTTCCAGAGCTGAGATATCGAAACTCAAAAATTCGGCCCGAAAAAAAAAACGACAGTGGTACCCCTTACGTTTTTTTTTTTTGGGCGAAAAATTAAGTTTCTCCAATCTTCCCAAAACTCTGGATTCTGATAGAGGGCCATGAGACTTAGACCTGAGTGCAAAAATGGAGGCTCTAGCCCCTTCCAGAGCTGAGATATCGAAACTCAAAAATTCGGCCCGAAAAAAAAACGACAGTGGTACCCCTTACGTTTTTTTTTTTGGGCGAAAAATTAAGTTTCTCCAATCTTCCCAAAACTCTGGATTCTGATAGAGGGCCATGAGACTTAGACCTGAGTGCAAAAATGGAGGCTCTAGCCCCTTCCAGAGCTGAGATATCGAAACTCAAAAATTCGGCCCGAAAAAAAAACGACAGTGGTACCCCTTACGTTTTTTTTTTTGGGCGAAAAATTAAGTTTCTCCAATCTTCCCAAAACTCTGGATTCTGATAGAGGGCCATGAGACTTAGACCTGAGTGCAAAAATGGAGGCTCTAGCCCCTTCCAGAGCTGAGATATCGAAACTCAAAAATTCGGCCCGAAAAAAAAAACGACAGTGGTACCCCTTACGTTTTTTTTTTTGGGCGAAAAATTAAGTTTCTCCAATCTTCCCAAAACTCTGGATTCTGATAGAGGGCCATGAGACTTAGACCTGAGTGCAAAAATGGAGGCTCTAGCCCCTTCCAGAGCTGAGATATCGAAACTCAAAAATTCGGCCCGAAAAAAAAACGACAGTGGTACCCCTTACGTTTTTTTTTTGGGCGAAAAATTAAGTTTCTCCAATCTTCCCAAAACTCTGGATTCTGATAGAGGGCCATGAGACTTAGACCTGAGTGCAAAAATGGAGGCTCTAGCCCCTTCCAGAGCTGAGATATCGAAACTCAAAAATTCGGCCCGAAAAAAAAACGACAGTGGTACCCCTTACGTTTTTTTTTTTGGGCGAAAAATTAAGTTTCTCCAATCTTCCAAAACTCTGGATTCTGATAGAGGGCCATGAGACTTAGACCTGAGTGCAAAAATGGAGGCTCTAGCCCCTTCCAGAGCTGAGATATCGAAACTCAAAAATTCGGCCCGAAAAAAAAACGACAGTGGTACCCCTTACGTTTTTTTTTTTGGGCGAAAAATTAAGTTTCTCCAATCTTCCCAAAACTCTGGATTCTGATAGAGGGCCATGAGACTTAGACCTGAGTGCAAAAATGGAGGCTCTAGCCCCTTCCAGAGCTGAGATATCGAAACTCAAAAATTCGGCCCGAAAAAAAAACGACAGTGGTACCCCTTACGTTTTTTTTTTTGGGCGAAAAATTAAGTTTCTCCAATCTTCCAAAACTCTGGATTCTGATAGAGGGCCATGAGACTTAGACCTGAGTGCAAAAATGGAGGCTCTAGCCCCTTCCAGAGCTGAGATATCGAAACTCAAAAATTCGGCCCGAAAAAAAAACGACAGTGGTACCCCTTACGTTTTTTTTTTTGGGCGAAAAATTAAGTTTCTCCAATCTTCCCAAAACTCTGGATTCTGATAGAGGGCCATGAGACTTAGACCTGAGTGCAAAAATGGAGGCTCTAGCCCCTTCCAGAGCTGAGATATCGAAACTCAAAAATTCGGCCCGAAAAAAAAACGACAGTGGTACCCCTTACGTTTTTTTTTTTGGGCGAAAAATTAAGTTTCTCCAATCTTCCCAAAACTCTGGATTCTGATAGAGGGCCATGAGACTTAGACCTGAGTGCAAAAATGGAGGCTCTAGCCCCTTCCAGAGCTGAGATATCGAAACTCAAAAATTCGGCCCGAAAAAAAAACGACAGTGGTACCCCTTACGTTTTTTTTTTTTGGGCGAAAAATTAAGTTTCTCCAATCTTCCCAAAACTCTGGATTCTGATAGAGGGCCATGAGACTTAGACCTGAGTGCAAAAATGGAGGCTCTAGCCCCTTCCAGAGCTGAGATATCGAAACTCAAAAATTCGGCCCGAAAAAAAAACGACAGTGGTACCCCTTACGTTTTTTTTTTTGGGCGAAAAATTAAGTTTCTCCAATCTTCCCAAAACTCTGGATTCTGATAGAGGGCCATGAGACTTAGACCTGAGTGCAAAAATGGAGGCTCTAGCCCCTTCCAGAGCTGAGATATCGAAACTCAAAAATTCGGCCCGAAAAAAAAACGACAGTGGTACCCCTTACGTTTTTTTTTTTGGGCGAAAAATTAAGTTTCTCCAATCTTCCCAAAACTCTGGATTCTGATAGAGGGCCATGAGACTTAGACCTGAGTGCAAAAATGGAGGCTCTAGCCCCTTCCAGAGCTGAGATATCGAAACTCAAAAATTCGGCCCGAAAAAAAAAACGACAGTGGTACCCCTTACGTTTTTTTTTTGGGCGAAAAATTAAGTTTCTCCAATCTTCCCAAAACTCTGGATTCTGATAGAGGGCCATGAGACTTAGACCTGAGTGCAAAAATGGAGGCTCTAGCCCCTTCCAGAGCTGAGATATCGAAACTCAAAAATTCGGCCCGAAAAAAAAACGACAGTGGTACCCCTTACGTTTTTTTTTTTGGGCGAAAAATTAAGTTTCTCCAATCTTCCCAAAACTCTGGATTCTGATAGAGGGCCATGAGACTTAGACCTGAGTGCAAAAATGGAGGCTCTAGCCCCTTCCAGAGCTGAGATATCGAAACTCAAAAATTCGGCCCGAAAAAAAAACGACAGTGGTACCCCTTACGTTTTTTTTTTTGGGCGAAAAATTAAGTTTCTCCAATCTTCCCAAAACTCTGGATTCTGATAGAGGGCCATGAGACTTAGACCTGAGTGCAAAAATGGAGGCTCTAGCCCCTTCCAGAGCTGAGATATCGAAACTCAAAAATTCGGCCCGAAAAAAAAACGACAGTGGTACCCCTTACGTTTTTTTTTTTGGGCGAAAAATTAAGTTTCTCCAATCTTCCCAAAACTCTGGATTCTGATAGAGGGCCATGAGACTTAGACCTGAGTGCAAAAATGGAGGCTCTAGCCCCTTCCAGAGCTGAGATATCGAAACTCAAAAATTCGGCCCGAAAAAAAAACGACAG